TCTTTAGGAATTTTCTAGTTAGTACTACTCTCACAGCCACCCCACTCTGCTCTCTTCTTGAATGTGAAGTTTCTAAGTTGAATTTTGAGAAGTGAGAACCAAAAATTTGTTATATATATCAATGAAAGCTTTTGATGAGCTCTTTCTACTGTTTATGAAGTTTCGATATTAAAGATTAAATTTAATAAACAAAGTGAGAACAAAGTATGGTCCTTTTTTGTGTTGGCTCTCCTGTAAAGTTGGTCAAACGTCACTTACACCCCTCTGGTTCTCACGCCTCGATGTTTCATTTTAAAGGACCAGTGTTTAGGATTTAGTGTCATTTTGTGGTGGAGTTTGAACACACACAATGAAAACAAACATATGAATATCATATCCCATTTCTGCCAATAGATCCTCCGAAACAAAGGTCGGACTCTTTCTTTCTTCAGTTTCTGCGCAGTGCTCAATCTTTGCGCCTCACTTTGTCTTTCATTCCTCTTTGGATTTTGGCCCTTTAAAGCCTTTTACTAACAGACAATAAATTACATCTGAGAACTCCTCCAGCAAGAATGTTGAACCACAATAAAAAGAGGTGAATAAAGGACAGCAGGTCCTAATTTCCCAAATGGAGTGACTGTGACTTATCAGTGACAGCATCTTCAGGGCAGGCCTGGGGCAAATGAAAGCAAGGTGTGATTGAGCCGGGTTTAGATTACAGGCCGATGTCTGCGGCGCTGAGGCCATACGGTAATCTCTTATGACTGATTGGCTGTAACCAGGAGTGACAACTGAACTGATGTTATCTCAGTTTTTCTACCGAAGCGGCATCGAGACAGGAGGGGCCGGGATCGGTTACTGTTTTCAGATGTTGTGCTCTGACTGAGGAACAGGTGACAGAGTGCGTCTCTATGGGGGAAACAAGGGATTTCCTTCCGCTTGACTCATGGGTAGCAACAAAAACAAATGCAAAAACATGAATGTGAAACTGCACACAAAAACACATGAGCCCTCGCTGTCACTGTCTCTTCCCCTCTCTCTCTCTCTCCCTCTCTCTCACACTCACACACACACACAGGAATCTCACTTGTCAGCAGAGTGGGAACATCATTTAGACCATCGGACACTAAAACAGAAACCAAAACAAATGAAACTTTTAGTTTGTTGGCAGCGTATTAAGGCAGGGTGACCCGTCCGGCCTGTAATTAGAGGGGAAACTCTTACACACAAACATGCAAACACACAACATGTCAGCGCTCACATGCTCTGTTACCGCAGCTCTTGTGAACGGTATTTTCTGAGTGTGCTTTATTGGAAAATTTGCAGGAAAATTGTCCATTGGTAAAAGATTTTAATGCTTAAGCTCTTTATGGCAACGAAATCCACCACTGTGGATTTATGAGTTTGGTCGTTAAAAACGTTTCTCAGAGCTCTGCTTTGGCATGAGTGATATAACAATAAAAGCATATTGAGTTTCTTCAGTTGCACGTGAGGATGTGAAAGCAGAGATGAGTTGCATGTTTTTTTTTTAATATGCAAATTAGTTGTTTTGCATCTTTCCATATTTCTTAGCTTTCTTTTACTGTATCCTATTATATCAATGATGCCATTTCACCCCGGGGGATTAACAATGTCTCTACTTGTCTACTGAATCTATTTGCCTTTCTATTTATACAGAGAGCAGCTGTAAAGAAGACCCAGTATGATCCGTGGGGAGCCCACAGCTCGCAGAGTTAATGAACTGAGGACTGGTGGCACAGAGGCAACTTGGATTGAGAGGTGGAAGGATGGAGGGAAGCAGAGGGAGGGCAGTGTTGTGGAAGCCTGGCTTAAGGGTGTTTCCATGGTAGGATTGCCCAGGAATCTGATGCTGGTGCCAGACGCGGGGAAACCCTCATCAAAAACAAGGGAGCACACCCATCAACACCAGTCCAGATCCTGCACATGGCCCTAAAGGGAGCCGGATTCAGAGCCTAGACCAGCATTCTGTTGACACGTTATATATGGTCATTTGTTGTTGACGGTTCAATTCTTCTCCTGGAGTTTTTGGTAATTTCTTTCATGGAGGCAGAAGTAAACTCATTAGTTGGGTTAAACTTTATGGGGCAGAGCTAAAGAGCTATTGTAAACAAACAGGGTTGGATCAGGGACAATGTTCAAAAAAAGGGAACTGCTATGAGAGGATAAAAATGTATCCTTGATCTTGGAAAAATCAATTTGGCAACAAGGAATCTAAACTTAAAGCCCTCTTACTTCTGGTCTTCCTCAGCAGATGGAGTATCAATTATTATTATTATGGGATTGAAATTACTGAGTGATCAATTGTTGAAATGAGAGCATGAAGGAATGAAGAGAGGAAAGAATGAGTGAGATTAATGCTATGAATATACTTCCTTCACTAATGGAAAGACATTTAATTGGATTGTTTTTTGAATAGGAAGGAACTACTTAACTTTGCTCATCCTGTAACTGAGCAGCAGATTGGTGCAGCCCATAAAACAGTATATTAACTTTATACTCTATCCAGGATTCAGGATACCTTACTCAAGTAAAAGTATGTAAGTATTAACAGCAACATTGACTTAAAGTCCCTGTGTGGGTTCAACTATGTATATTTTACATTTTACTGCTGTAGATGTTTGAGGTTGAGCTAATTTGAACTACTTTATATACTGTTGGGTAGTTTCATCTACAGCAATGTATCATATTCTATAAGATCATCACATAGTTGTAGTGTGTTGAACCACTTATTTCTCTCTTGTTAATCCATATAATAATATTCTCAACCCGTTCAGGAACACTTGAATACCTATAAGAACATTCTACCACTGCCAGCTTTACATTGTTATGAAAAATATGCAAAACTATTCTTCATTTCCAAGATCAGGTATCCTAATATAAGGTCAGAGTTGATTTTTAAAGGAGTTACATACAACAAGTCTGGGTCTCCTTTCTGGCTTTAAGGTCTGATTAAATCTATACTGACACCTAAAACAATACATTTGTAGATGCTACTGTATCTACGCTCAAAGATTTTTTTTACTATCACTATTATTATGATTATTATATTAGTTTTGTTTTCCTTTATTGTTGTTAACATTGTTTTATTTTGTGTTTTGGTCTGTACTGAATGTTTGTTGTATGTTGTCCAGTGAGTATGCAGCCTTGGTGTTTACAAAAAGAAAGGACAGTGATGTCTTTTTCATTTTAAAAATATGAGATATAATAACATTTCGATTCAACAATATCAATAAAAAAAGAAATATAATTATAAATACATATATATGTTTATGTATAGAGATAGAGAGAGAGCATTAATCCAACCAGTGACATTATTTTATCTGCAGCAGCTCTGCCTTGGAGAAACGTTACATGATTCAAACACTGATCTGCCGTCCTCTCAGGAAGAGATCAGGGTTCATCAAAGAGGCCTACACTCATTCAATCACTTCTTGTTTTGATAAACAATCTCACTACTCCATTGTACGGTGCTGGAGGGGAGGGAAGGGGAGAGGAGGGGAGAGGAGGGGA